CAAATGTGCCTACTTTTATGTGTGAACAACACACTTAACCTTCCTGAGGTTTTATTTTCTTACTAGAAGTCTGGTGCACGAATTCGTGCACATGTGGCATTCAGCCAGCCTGGCCCCAATGGGGGCCAATTGGGGGCAGAGCTGGCTCAGGGAGGGGCCTCAGGAGGTTGGGGGGGGCTATGATCAGGTCCCCAATGGGGCCATTTGGCTGCCACAGTGTGCATCATAGCTACTAGCTATTCAGTTGTTCTGTCATTCTGGTTGCTTGGTGCTATATATATTGTGTGTGTGTATATATATATATATATATATATATATATATATATAATCTGTGTAATGAGAGGACTGAGCTTTTAGAGTTCCAATGTTCTATCAACTAATGACATGCTATCATCCAATGAAAGTTAAACTGGTAAAAAATTAGATAAACACTTTTTAGGTAAAATAATAATTTTCTTACATCAAAGATTAAAGGCTAGAATAAGTTCCTTGAAGAGACTAAAATGACCCATGCTAAAAATGTTTGAAAAGTAAATATAATCTAAACTCTCTAGCATGATTTAAGATAAAATCTACTTAAAGACATTATATTTAAAATTTTTCTTTTTTGCTCATTGCTTTACCCTCATGTTCATTTTGAATGTGATTATAGTTGGTTGAATCTAGTTAATTACTACTACTACTACTACTGGTATAAAATAACTTATTTTTTAAAAATATATTTTATTGATTTTTTTTCCAGAGAGAAAGAGAGAGGGGTAGAGTTAGAAACATCAATGAGAGCGAAACATCGACCAGCTGCCTCCTGCACATCTCTTACAAGGGATATGCCCGCAACCAACGTACATGCCCTTGATCAGAATCGAACCTGGGACCTTGCAGTCCGCAGGCTGATGCTCTATCCACTGAGCCAAACCGGTTTCAGCAGAACTTATTTTAAATATAGAAGAGCATCAGCATTTGTGGTGTTAAGAAAATATCTGAATACTTGAACAATCCCAGCACTGGTAACGCCAATGTTCTTGATGTTAATGGGTTCACTCAAAGGAAAACACTGCAAGAACTAGAGTTAGCTCCAATTATTTGAAAGACAAATTATGCTCTTTTCTTTTCTTTTCTCCACTTGTACTCTGTTCTGCAACAATTGACTCCATGCTCACTTGCAAACACATCAGTTTTCAAAAAAACATGAAGTCTTTATCTCCCATTTCTCCCCTTTTCCTTGTTATCCTAGAGAGGTAAAATTAAGCAAATTATACTAAGCCAAAAAATGTTCTGAACATGGGCCTCCCAATTAAGAGCTGCTTCACGAGCTTGGGTTTGCTGTGTGTTTAGAAAGTCATGATTCATTAACTATGGCCTGTAACAATCAAATAAACAAAACCATGCGCTACAAGGCATCCATTAGCACGTTGAAGTGCATAAATCACTAACCATGTGACTTAGAGCTTAACCATTTGCCAAAACAGCTGTTTTCTCAGTTCAAATAATGAAGAGAAAAAACAGCTGAAGCCAATTAGTGGGTAAGCATTCATTCCCACATATCTGCGACAGTTGAGTGGTTTATTTTGCAGGACAGATACGTTGTTATTCAGATCCAAGGAAGAAAGCTCCTTTTACAAAAAAAAAAAAAAAAAAAAAAAAAGGAAGGTTTTACATTAACCCTTGTTTGTACTGGGCTCTCCTCCAAAGAGCAAGCACAGAAATAAACAAACAAATACACAGCTAATTAAAACCCAGTGTTCTTGAAAGAAGTGCAGTGAATTATTTATTCAGGATTGTGTCTTTGCTCAGAGAATATTTTAAGTCATGAGGACTGAGGCTGTAGGCATAGGATTACTGTGCAAAGCAAAGAAAGAATCTGATTTCACACAGAAATTATGTTTACCAAAGAGAAATGATCTATCAAACTGAAACAGGGTCTAGAAAAGACTAAACATATTTTTCATACTTATATTCTAAAAGGAGGTCCATTCTCCACCACCAAAAAACTTTAATACATTGTATTTTAGCTTAAAATCAACACCATTGTAAACAAAATTGTTTATTAAGTTTTCAGCAGGAATATTCCCACAGAAGATTCTAATAGTTTCTACTAAAATAAAGCCATAACCTGAAACTTCTCTTTCTTCGACAGTATTGATAACTAAGTTATTAACATCAATCACTAAATACAAGAAACATGATATTTTCCATCCTTTGTGACATTACCAGACAATGACCTAGGAAACAATTTCCCCTGTAAATGCTGCTTTGATGCAGACAGAAAAGAGCTAGGGTTTGTCAAGTAGATAGACTAAATTCTAATTGGGCCACTTATTTATGCCACATTTGGTAACTTTTAAAATCATTCTGAACCTCAGTTTCTTCATCTGTATTACACAGATAATCGCATCTTCCTCACAGCCTAACAAGTTTGTGTTATGAAATTTAAATAAGCCACTTAGTTTTGTGTGAAGTATAACTATTCTAACACATAGGCTTATGCAAAACAAAGTTCAATTCTTGCTGAGTGAAAAGTGAAAATTTACTTAAAAACTGATTAACGCTCTGCATTCAAAATAAATGGTAGCTATTTATGGAATTATGTAGTTGGATGTGTATGAGAGAGTGGACCTTTATAATTAGGGAAGAGTGAACTGATCATTAAAAAAAAAGTTACAAAGATTTTCATTTTCTAGAATGAAGACATGATTTCATTTCTGGGGAGGAAACTGCCTCTGTGAAAGACTTTCCTTAGTGTGTTGATTTAAGACAATTACCAATGTGCTGACCTTGGGAGGACTAAGGACAGTGAGTTACCAAAAATAACAGTTGCTTCAGAGAAGATGTGCAGTATTGTATAGAGGTAGCTTCTTTTCGTGGGATCCTGAGAAAAGTCCAACCCTGAAACATAGGTTGGTTCCCATCAAGGAAATGGATCGATTTATTGTCAATGATCTTGAGAAGGAAATTAGGACTTATGAGAGAAAAAGTAAGTTCCTTTCTGTGGAAGCAAGGGGTTACAGATGGACCTAACTCTAGGAAGGAGAGAAATGTTCTTGGGAAATCCTCAGGAGAGGCTAGCTATCCTGAGATGATGGTAAACCTGTGCTAGGAAGAAAAACTAACCTTCCTCCCGTGAAGAAGAGGGGAGCTAAGCAACCCCCTGGGGAACCTGTGGTACCTGTAGCATTGGGACAACGATCTCATTCTCTCAACTGTGTATGAGTCCTGCTTTCACGGTGCCTTGACAGTATTGATTATTCATAACAAAAAATAAATAAAATGTTGGCTAATTTTATATAACCTGACAGCTACCACTAGATGTGAGTGGTATATGACCTGCTTTATTCTTACAGCTGCTTACATTTCTTGACAAGTTTTTACTCCTTCTCAACCATGGGAAAACTATACTTAGTTTAATCTGGAGACTTGGAAGAGTTGAGCAGTTTTTAATCCAGTTCAGTTATGAAATTTTTGATCTCTCTCCAACATGATGTTTCCCCCTCAAAGCATCTTTCCTTTTTTTGCCAGATTTTCCCCTCCTTTTCCTCCTGTTGCTATTTGCATTTCACAGGATTTATGAATGCTGGTTTCCACATGTCAGTAGGAAAGTGGTTACATATCTAATCTGTTTGTCTTGACTCTGGCTTAGCCACTGGTGTCCTCGAGTCTCCGGCATAGTGGAGTTGCAGACAGGAGGCAGAGGAACAGAGAATGTACAAGTGGAAGGGTGATATCCAGGCTGTGGGTAGGCAACAGATAATATTTAACTCTGCTTTCCATTTGAATTTTTATTATGGATAAACAAAGATATTTCTACTTGTTGGTTTGCCTTTATCTTTCTGAGATTTTTTTCCCCTTTGACCTTTTATCTACTACTAGAGGCCTGGTGCATGAAATTTATGCACAGGGAGGAGGGGTCTCTCAGTCTGGCCTGCACCCTCTCCATTCTAAGACCCCTTGGGAGATGTCCAATTGCCAGTTTATGCCTGATCCCAACAGTTGGAAATCCCTCTCACAATCTGGGACAGCTGGCTCCTGACTGCTCACCTGCCTGCCTGATGGCCCCTAACCACTCTGACTGCCTGGTTGCCCCTAAATTCCCACCCCTCCTGGCCCCGTTGCCCCTAACTGCCCTTCCCTGCCAGCCTAGTCACCCCTAACATCCCTCCCCTGACAACCTGGTCACCCTTAACCACCTTTGCCTCAGCCCTGCCACCGTGACTTTGTCTAGAAGGACATCAGGAAGGATGTCTGGAAGATGTCCAGTCTAATTACCATATTACCCTACTATTAATATAGATGGTATTTATGTTAACAGTTTCAATTCATATTTTAAGAATTTTATATAGGAGAGATGTTAAGATTTTATTAAGCAAATTCTTAAAATGTTATGTTATTTTTTTGTTTGCCTTTGAATTTTTAAGTTTCGACATGCAGAAAAATGTAATACATTTTTCATTACTTTAAAGTTTAAAAAGCATTCATCATAAAATATACTAATAGAACAATATGTACAAACTTTCATTTTTCTAAATTAAGTCAACAAAAGTAAATTTAAAATGCAATAAAACTTTAAAAAAACAGATTAGGAAAATATTCTTATTTAAAATTACAGAAAGTTGATAAAAAAATATAATAATAAATTTGGATAATAAGTAAAATTACATACTATTATAATAACATAAACTGAGAATATGAACAATTTATAAGGAAACACGCATGCACCTATACACACAATAATAATAATTCCAATATTATTTTTATTTCACTAGCTGTTATTTATATTAAAACTTTCAAAAGTGTGAGGAAAAATTTTAATTTTTCTAGAACATTTAAAAATAGTCTAACAAAGAAAAAATAGTTTATACATATCTGTATGTAGTCAAATTGTTTAGGAATGTCATCATTGTTAAAAAGATTCTTGAGTGTTATGTTTATTTTTTGTAGAAGCATGATTGGGAGAAACAATGAGAAAAGCAAAGTAGTTATATATGAAAGGAACCATAAATAAATCTTTTTTTTTTTAATTACAATTTTCATTTATTTTTCCCCCAGAGAACTTTTCTTCACTCTTTAAAGACTTAGCTCATTCCATGGGCTTTGGTGGAGGTCGTGGGGCAGCACCCCCAGGCCTAAAGCGGGGTGGGGGTGTTCGGTCCTTCCGGGCTTCACAAGAATGATTTCCGACTCCCTTGCTGTGAATGGCATAGCTCACACAGTCATGCAGCTTCACATAGGGTTTGGGAAGCGCACAGGCGTCGAAGACACTTGCTTTGGAGATGTTTCCAAAGACAAACTTCTCAATGGCCTTGTCCTTGGAAATGCACTGGGCGCAGTTGGTGCAGCAAATAGGCTGCACATGGCCTCGGCCTTTTTTGGCACAACTGTTATTCTTTCTTTTCTTGGTAATCTTGGAAACGAGGATCCAAGAAAACATAAATAAATCTCTTGATGTGGAATTTTAAGATAGAGGCATTCATACTAGGGAAATAATTCTGAATAAGCAAATAAGCTATAAGTACTCTTGTATTATGATACATATTATAACTATAAAGCAAAAGAATTAGAAATAGCTTGTTTTGAATGTATTATGGAAAATTACTGAGCATACTGTATTCCAATAACGAGAGAATATTATATGCCTATTAATAATTGTAAAAATTGACCAGTAAAAATTAGGCTAGCACTGTCAAATAAAAATATCACATACAAAATGATATTTTCATTCTCTTGCACTATGAAAATATGTGCACATGTGAAAGAGCACAGCATACAAAACTATTGTATTTGAATAGTTGAAAAATTAATTTAATGCATTTGCTTTAATTTTTTTCTTTAATGTTACTGTGTTTTCCAGATAATTTGTAAAACATCATAGCCGCACTAGCAAGGTACGTAATAAGAGTAGCATGTGTACATTTATGCAATGGCATTCCTGATGTTGTCCTCTTATTTCTTTTAGTGGCTAATGTTTCTCACCAAACAATTTTCTTGTCTCCGGCAGCAAGGCCTAATAACCAAAACATTAGGATTCAGAACTCGCCACACCATTTCGGTTACATTTATAAAAATGTTTGTTGACTTCCCTTATCCTTCATTAAGGCAGACCCATTATGCTATTGTGCACATCAATGGGCTTTGAAGGATGGGAGAAGAGTTGTCTGGGATTCTTGTTTCAGTGTTTGCATTCGAGAACAAAAGCTCCAAAACAAGACCCTTTGTTTGACATTTTTTCTTTTGAATTCCACTTAAAAGGCAGAGAAATGATCAAAATCGCATCCCACAACCATCCTTGGCAGGGCTGTGACATGAAGTTCTCTTTATTCTTGCAATTGGCATTTGTTGAAGAGTTTTTTAAAGACAGTAAATGCATTTTAGAGGGAAGTGCTTGCAGTTCCAACTAATACTAGCATGTGATTAAATTAATGAGCCTGGTTTTTCTGACCTCTGGCTTTGTATCAGAGTGACATTCGTTACCTATGAAACCTTTTCACATCCTCCATCCTCCGCACCAGCCAAGAAGACAACTTCCTCCCTGCATAGCACCAGTGAGTTTTTGTGACTCTTGCAGAGTTGGGTCGATAGCACAGATAAAATTTCATAAGGCATTTAAAAAGTGTTGCTACTTAACACAAAATGATATTAGGCAGTATTTTTTTTTTTTCATGAAAGGGAGAAATAAAACAAAAAGGGACAGAAGTACTCTTTTGGCGTGCCTGCTGTTGGCTTTCCTCATTGGCTAGACTTTAAAGATATTTCTCTAGCCTGAGTGCTTTGATTTATGGTCACTTGAAGTGATCCCTAATGCCCCTTTTTTGTTCCCATTTCCTCTTAGTTGCCAACCTTTGCAACAGAGTCTACTATTCTGGAATTGGTTTAGTCGTGGCTGAAAGGAAGTTGGGTTTATTTGGATTCAGAGCTTCTCAGATCTGGTGCTTTGTGTGTGTAATAAACATAAGGAGAGCTGGAGTTCTCCATTACACTGTAATATTTTTCTCCATCCTTTGGTTCCCTTACTTCCTGTATGATATGGTTTATTGTTGTTAGCCATGCTGATACCGCAGTACCCTTACTTTTGTAAGGGGAAATTTGTAAGCTTTAGTAAATGGATTTAAAATTTTCAACTAATGACTTTTGGAGGACTGTAATTGTTTATCTTATGCAGAAAAATGGTTTTGTAGAAAATTCATCAAATATAATTTTTCCCACCCAAATTGATAGATATAGCTGTTTTATGTCTTTATATTTCTTTTAATAGGTTGCAGTCCAAGAATGTAGGGAGAGGGAAAGTATTTTAAAATGAAATTTAAGAAGAATGAAAAAAGCCTCTTCTATTTCTTATTAGAGGCACATGTGACAATCAATCCCAGACTAAGCTTCAGGCTTTTATTCTTCAACTAGAGGCCCAGTGCATGAAAATTCATGCACTGAAGGGGGCTGTCCCTCAACCCGGCCTGCCCCCTTTCACAGTCCAGGAGCCTTAGGGGCTTGAGGCAACCCAGCAATCAGGGGAAAGCAATGTCTCCATCACACCTCTGCTGCTGCCACTGCTGACAGCGCAAGCCTCAGCTGGCTTTGGTTACCTGAGCCTTGGGTGGCCCTGGGCAGCTGGGCAGCTGCCATCCAAGGCTTGCCTGCACCTTGGGTTGGCCCTGGGTGGAAGGCAGGGCTGAGGGGACTGGGCACCTCCATCTTGTGGCTGTGTGTGCCGCCATCTTTGAGGATGTGGCAGTCAATTAGCATATACTCTCCTTATTAGCAGTTTGTGCTGCCATCTTTGAGGGAGGGGCAGCTAATTAGTACATTCCCTCCTTATTGGCTGTGGGCATCGCCATTTTGCGATGGTGTAAGGGTCAATTGACATACTCCCTCTTTAATAGTTAGGGCTGGCTCAAGGCTCCTTCTAGAAGATACAGAAGAAATCATTCATTTGAATTGCCCCTTTACTCTGAAAATATTCTGATCTACTTATCCTTAAAATAACATTTATTTAGGAGCAGAAATATATTACTTAGCAAATGATATTCGGGAATCTGACCAAGTCCTTTTATTATCTAAATAAGGTTCACCAACCACCCTGTAACATTTCCTTTCCTGCTGGAAAGCTTATGCATGACAGAGCTTCTCTTTTTGTGTGTGAGTGTGTGATATTTTTATAGATTTTAGAAAGGAAGGGAGCAGGAAAGATAGAAACACAGATGATGATAGATAATCAATTGATTGGCTATTCCCTGCACACCCCACATTGGGGGTCAAGCCCACAACCCAGGCATGTGCCCTGACCAGGAATTGAACCACAGCCTTCTGGCTCATGGTTCATAGGTCTAGGCTCAACCACTGAGCAACACTGGCTGGGCCACAGCTGCTCCTTTAATGTCATTATTCTATCTGCTGACTTAGTCTTGAATTCAGAATCTTTTCATAGGTCAATGCTTTGTCTCCATCATTTGCCTCTATGTTTGACCTCAGTCAACCTTTAATGTGTATACAAAGCATCTGTAAAATTCAAAATCCTGAGAAAATGCAGATTCTGATTTAGGAATTCTAAGGTTGGGCCTGAGTTTTTGCATTTCTAACACCTCCCAGGTGATGCCAATACTGCTGCAACTGGATCAAATTTTGGATTCATAGCTAGTCTCTAGGGATCTTCAGTAGTAGCTCTCCTTAGATGCTACATTGTGCTATAAGAGACCTTTAAGACTTTGAGGGCTTCCCCATGCAGTCTTTCAATTTCAGAGCATGTGCTCTAACTCAGTAGAGCACATGCTCTGAAATTGTTTTCATAACTCTTCCAGTTGCCTGCTGCTTAATCATGCCTAGGTATGTTCCAGAGTAAAATGTTCTGGGAAACTGCCTTTTGGTGGAGAATGTAGCTCAGTAGCTGGATGAGTCAGAAGCAAGGTGGAAGGATACTTTGAAGTTATAGGCCTAAAGCTGGGATAACAGACACAGGAGTGACAAGTGAGAAGGAAAGTTGAAGAAGATACCAGTAAGTACTAAAACTGCAGAACAAGTTACCGATTATAGAAAATACCCTGGTTCAAGCTTGGTTTGGATTTCTCAGGAGACAAATTAGGATCGAAAACATGGTGTGGTTGAAGCTCTGATTGAAGTGCTTGAGTATGTCCACCCAGGTAGTAAACAACTCCAGGGGACATCATTCACCTAGACTAGGGGTGTCGAACTCAACCAGAGAAGGGGCCAAAATCTAAAATCCAGCCTAAATCGCGGGCCGAATGACTTACTGAACAGTCATAAACTGTCATTGTGATGGAAACGCAGCGGAGTGCAGTGATGACAGCGTGGTCCGGGCCACATTGCAAGGCCTGGCGGGACGGATTTGGCCCGCGGGCCTTGTGTTTGACACATGTGACCTAGACCATGAAGTGAATGTGAATCGTACTTCCTTAAAAGGTTTAATGTCATCTTTGGTTTCATTCACCTATCAAAGCAATATACTAAGTTTAAACTTGGGTTATTAAAACTGCAGACATGCTCTCCAAAAGAGCATGTGTTCCATCCCTTTGGTCTTGAGTCAATTGCTCCTCATCAAAGAGAGATGATCAGTGTAACTTCTTGCCATGCATGACCTAGGGCAGTGGTCGGCAAACCGTGGCTTGAGAGCCACATGTGGCTTTTGGGCCGAGGTTTGCTGCTCTGTTGACTAATGAGTTTGCAGACCACTGACCTAGGGCTAAAGGCTAGGCTGCCTAAGGAAGAGACCAAACTAACAATGTGGTTTAAAAAGCTATATATTTACTTCTCTCATGTAATAATTTTGAAGTGAACTTTGCAGGTGGGTAGACACTGCCATATATATAGTTAGTCAGAGATAGTCTGATACTGGATATGATGCTTTCAACAGGTGACTTCCAAGAAGATTCCAGCTATTATCTTTCCGTTCACTGAAGAGGAAGCTCAGTATCAAGTCAGCCAGAAATTGAACACTTTCATTTGCTCACATTTTATTCATCAGAACTAACCACAAGGTCACAATCAGAGGCAGAGAAACTGTGTTACACTATCTTAGATGGGGTCTAGGGGTTGAGCATGTCCCAGCAACAGCTACCATTATGGATGAAGGATATCATTTTTTCTGGACAGCTGGAAATAGCTTTCATATTCTTTAAACCTGGGTCTAGTTTAGTGACCTAAAATGAATAACTTTTCATTTAACTAAAAATTATTGATTAACTGCTACATGGATGAGCATCTCGCTTTTTTGAGTTACTGTATTTTAATTATTCAGAAATGGATAAGCTGTCCAAATGATTTATGTTGTTTTTCCCCCCAATTAGTAGGTTCCCCACCATCCCAGTGTGCCTGGGATAGCCCTACTTTTCATCTACTATTACAGTGTAATTATTATAGTAAAATATTTTACATTGGTTTGGACAACAAATTAAGGAGTTAACCTACCCATGAAGCATCAAGAAAATTACTTGGAATCACAATAGTCTCTGCTTAGGAAGCTTTGATGCTAGTCTTGAGAACTAGAATTATAAGCCCCATTCCAAATTTCCAAGGTCTGTGACAGCCCATAATAATGTATTTGTATATTTCCTTGATATTCAATGTAAACTAAGAAATGGCTGTTTCTTAAAGATTTCCTGTGTATACACATTGTTCCTTTTCATATATTTTACTGATTTTTCTTAACATATTGATTTAAAAATTGATTAGATATTGATTTATTTATGATTATATATTTACCATTCAATAAATAATTGGTAAGAGTGCACCTTTTCCATCATTGTTTTTACTCCCACCATAGTCCTTGATCTCTCTGTGAGGCATAGGCCAATGAATAAAATTTAGTAAAACTGAACTTCAGAAGCTGGATACCTTAACTATTTGTGCTTGCAATATGCACTCATTAAAGTTGTGGGCAAGCCCAGCTGGCGTAGCTAGTTAGTTGAGCATTGACCTATAGACCAGAATATCATGATTCAATTCCCAGTCAGAATTCAATGTCTGGGTTGTGATTTTCAATCCCCAATGTGGGGTTTGCAGGAGGCAGCTGATCAATGACTCTCATCATTGATGTTTCTATCTCTCTTTCCTTCTTTCCTTTCTGAAATAAATAAAAAAAAATTTAAAAAAAATGAAGGCAGAGATATAAAAGACTGAAGTTTTTCCATAAAACGCTTATCATTTGTACTATGTAGCTTGATGATTTACTATTTATTACTATAAAATCCTTTGGGCATGACTGCCATTTGACTTTTTAAAAGATTTAGTATCTTAAATTTCCAAGGCCTGTTAATTTTTCCCTCTCATCTATACTAATAAAAGGGTAACATGCTAATTAGACAAGGACATCTTCTGAGAGACCTTCCAGACGTCCTTCTAGACAAAACCATGGTGGCGGGGCAGAGGCAGTTAGGGGTGATCAGGCCAGTAGGGGAGGGTAGTTGGGTGATCAGGCAGTCAGACATCCCCCAAGGGGTCCCAGATTGGAGAGGGTGCAGGCCAGGCTGAGGGACACGCCCTCCCTCCCCACCCCAGTGCATGAATTTTATGCACTAGGCCACTAGTTGTTCAATAAATGGCATTTTGTAAAAAGCGCTGATGGACACTTTTGGTTGATGGACATATGTCTAGTCAGCATAAAAAAAAGGAGCCACACTTTTTAAAGCACTTAAAATTATTTATCTTGAAATTTCAAGTATATAAAACTAAACGAGACTTAATTTAAAAATAGATCCATTGCTGGTAGTAGTCTGTAATAATCTGAATTTGAATTACAAACCATGATCTTCTTATATGATACAATCCCATGTTAAACTCAGGGGGGAAAACAATATCCTGTAACTGTCAGAAAAACTAATCGACGAGGGAGAGTTGGAATGAAGCCGAAGTTGAGTTATGTTTGCTCTTTTAATAAAAAGAGATCCCCACCAAAATGTTCATATTTTCTCCCCACGTCCAATGATTAACATTCACACTTCAGAAATATATTCCTAGAGGAAATTTATTTTCTATCAAAAGGTGCCTTCTTTAACAGGAGGATGCTTTCGTGGCAAAGTAAATTCGTCATCCTGAAGGATGTTAGTGTATCAAAGTAAGGGTGATTTATTCACCTTTTGCAATTCAAACGTTGGAGTAATGTAAGTGAAATACCCATCACCACCCTGTTTGTGCTCAGTACTGGCGGCACAGAATTGCTTTGAATATTATTTCTGGTTTCCTGCCAGGGCCAGGTGTTGGTATGCCCAGAAATGGGAGCACAAGATTAAAGAACATGTGGACACAAATGAGTCCCAGGGACTTCAAAGTACATTTGTGCATTAGATTCCTGATAGCACAATGCAGCATAGTCATTTGACAGGTAGGTATTTGCTATTTGGCCCAGGCTCCGAGAGAGTTCTAAAATGTACATTTCGTTGAATTTATGGGCAGGCTCTACCTTTCACTTTAAATCTGAGTGTCTCATGGTGATTGCTCTGATTCATCAAAAGAGTAATTTCCATAAGTGGATTCATATGTGAATGTCTGAAGCCCCTTACCTATTTTATTCTGCAGCATGCTTCCGTGCGGCCTGCCTCTCTGGAGTTTTACCTTCTCTCATGGTCAAAGGTCATGCTTGTCTGTCACTTTCTTTCATAATTCCTTACTTTAGAGAATTGAGTAAGGACACCTGAGTTCTACCTGCTGAAGGAAATTGTTTTCCAGAATGGCACAACCCAGAGATATGATGTCTTCATAATTTAAAATGATTGCATTGTCTTTCAAATAGTCTGGTAACCTCAAAAGAATGCTAAATACAGGAGTAAAGTTTAATTGGTCAAATTAAAATTTTAACACTTAACATACTATAACAATTTGAAGGGATTTGTATGCAGTACACTGATATCAACTTGGTTCGTGTGTGTGTGTGTGTGTGGGGTGTGTGTGTAAGTGTTACTGACTCTGCTAGTGCACCACTTCTAAAACTTAAAAATGGAAACAAAGCCTTCTTATGAGATCAGAAAAAATTAAAAATAAAATATCCCTAGTTTTCCACTCATTTAGTAGTTAATTACTGATCACTATTACTAGTATGTGGTGAGTACTCTTCTAAGCACTGTGGATACAAAAATGAACCCAACAGGCGTGGTCCCTTCTTTTCCGGAGCTTCTGGTTAAGAGGTAGGAGACAATCAAGATCATTTGAAAGTTATAAATGGTACAATGATGGAAAAAAGAAACAGTATGTGACTTGGGAAGAAGTAGTTTCTAGAGGTTATTAGAGATATGGTGGTCTGGGAAGATCTCTGAAGAGCTGATGCTTAGAAAAGAAGCATCGAGTTGAATAAAGAACCAGGAGAGCGCTCCAGCAGCAGAGGGTAGTGAAACCAAAAGGTTGTACCTAACAGTGATAAAAGGGGCAGTGAAGTGAGGAAAATTGGGAAGCAAGGTGGTGCCCAGATTATGTAGATCCCTGTAGGCTGAAGTCAGGTTCCAGGTTGGGTCCCCTGGACACAGTTTCTAAGACAAAAATTAGTATGTGGACATTTATTAGGCATGCTATCAGGATCACCTTTGAAAGACAGGGATGACTGTAGTTCTAACAAAGGTGCCAGCCAATCCTGTGGGAGCTCTAGAGCTGGAAAGGCCCTGTAGAGCTGTCACAAGTGACAGCGGGACATGGGTCAGTCAATGGATATGGACCGCTGCTCCTGAAAGAAAGGTGACTTTGTAGGCAGCAGTTTGCTTCAGCCAAGGCAATCCACAAGAAAGAATGATACCCGAGGGCTGGCTGGCAGTGTTCCCAGCATCTAGTGAAATAAGTCCTTTGTTCCCGAAAGGAGATTGGGGCATATGGATTTTATTTCTAGCACAATGGGAAGCCACTGAAGAGTTTTCAGAATGAGATGGTGTTGTCTGATTTACATTTTCATAGGATTACTCTGCCTGCTTTTTGAAGAATATAGAATGCAATAGTGAAATCAGAAAAACAAAGTATAATATTTATGTAAAAGAAAAAGGCTCAATCAGATTTGCCTAATGTTGTTTCATTTTGATGTCTGAAAACATTATGGGACAACATTATAATTTAGATTTAGTGATATCAGGCCTAATAGGAGAGCTAATATAACTTTGTTGAATGTTTTTTTACTCTGCCTCTTCTGAGAATTGTTGAAATGAGAAGCTATTCAAAACTGGTTTGAATGAATGCATGAGTAAGACTGTGTATATATATTCGTGTGTGTGTGCATGTGCATGTGCGTGTGTGTGTGAGGGAGTGGAGAGAGTTGATTTTCTTTCTTTCTTATAAGGCTAACTTGAATTTTTGGCTTTAAATATCCTCCCCTTCTAACTTTTGGATTTGGATTCTCACTTAAGAGGCATATAATGGATTATACATGTCGTATCCTCTCCTCACCATGTGCCATTAATTTTATATCTTGGAAAGAAATCTCAACATACACATTGAACTGACAACCTTGCAGAGTTTATGCTCAGCTTACCTCCATTCCATGAGAAATAAATGCTCATTGTTTGATTAACCTATTGATAAAAGAGAGGATAGTGTGACTATAAAGTAGAAACAAAAGATATCTTTATGGAGATGGAATAGAGCTGTGTATTGATTCTGAAGGAATTACACTAATGTACACTTGTAATAAACTGACATTATTAAACTATATTCATTTGTTGGTCCAAAGTTAATCACATGGTTTTGATATTACACCATGGTTACATGAAATAGAACCAGTGGGATAAACTGGATAATGGTGCACAGGATCTCTCGGTATTATCTTTCCAACTTCCTTTGAATTTTAAAGAAAGAACCTTTCTGCTCTGTGTGATAAATACCCTAAAGATGCCACTGCACACTGTGTGGATCACTGCAGCAATACTGAGGACCTGGGATCCTCTGTTTCACTCAGATTTCACCCTGAGCTCCAGATCACATAGACTGGTCAATGGGCACCCAACATTCAACACATCTAGTAGTCATCCTCCTCCCCAAAGCAACTACACTTTCAGTATTCAGTCTATTTCAGCTGCTGAAATTCTTAAAAGTTCTCCAAATGTTCTTCACTCTCTGAGCTCATATTGTTTCTATATCTGAAGTGATCTCTGATTTTTCTGTGGCAGACCCTTACTCATCTTTCCAAACTAGCTTAAGAACCTCTTCTTTCATGAAAGCACAAATGAATGCTCCTGCATCCATACTCATAGAAGTGTGGGGAGTTACATACAGTATTATTGAACTGTAGCTCAATTACTTGTATGCATGCCGTCTCCCACATTAAGTTGTAAGAATCTCTAAAATTATTTTAAATTATGTATTGTGCTTGCAATGCAGAAGGAATAAATACATTTTTCTTAAATGAAAAAGTAAAGAATAAATTAAATTATTGATCTAGCCCAGTGATTTTCAACTTGTGCGCCATGCACAAGAGGCACACTGGTGTGCCACAAGAATTTTTTAAACATGCAATACCTGACTATTTAGTCAGGGGCACTGTCCTCTTTTTTACCTTAGTCAAAAAAAAATAAAAAATGACAACATACAACACAACGATAACAATCCAGTATGAATGAATCAAAGGTATACCTACCCTTTTGTCAGATTGGCAAAAAGCATAATATATTTATGGTTTGATGCAAAATTTTAGTAATTAGTTAATGTGTGCCATGAGATGAAAGAGGTTGAAAATCGTTGATCTAGCCCAATGGTCAGCAAACCGCAGCTCGAGAGCCACATGTGGCTCTTTGGCCCCATGAGTGTGACTCTTCCATAAAATACCATTTGCGGGTGCACAGGTACAGTGCGATTGAAACTTCATGGCCCATGCGCAGAAGTCAGTTTTGGGCCTGGGCGAGTCTATTTTGAAGAAATGGCATTAGAACACTCAGGGGGGCAAAAAGCCGCATGTGGCTCGCGAACCACAGTTGCCAGCCACTGATCTAGCCTATACAATTGTTAAGCACAAAATGGATTTCATGTAAAAATATTTGTTATATATATTTTACTTTTTCAAAACACTATTAAGTACTTACCTTGTTTGATTCTCACAATATCTATTCTAACTAGCTAGCAGAGGTATTATTATCCTAATTTAAGAGCTAAAGAAATGAGAGAAGTGTGGTATGATTTGCCTGGGAGCCCTGGTTAATATAGAGGAAGAGTAAAGATTATAACCCACATCTGATTTACACATATAGTCATGCCTGGTATCCACAGAGGATTGGTTCAAGGACAACAAAATCTACCCATGGATGCTCAAGTCCCTTATATAAAATGTCATCATATTTGGTTGTGCATCCTTCTGTATACATTAAATCATCTCAAGCTTACTTATAAAACCTAATACAATATAAATGCTATATAAATAGTTGTTATACTATATTATTTAGGGAACAATTACAAGAAAAATTCTGTACATGTACAGTACAGATGGAATCATCATAGTTCTAAATACTTAGCACATATCAACAACAATGAAACCATTGTTGCTGTTTTTGTTGTTCTTGTTTTTACTGTTTTCCACAGATTCAGAACCTGTGGATTTGGAAGGCCAACTGTACTATTATTGCTATCTCAAGTTGAATACCAGCTCACCTTTTATATAACCTATGTAGCTAATTTAAAAGTTGTGTGTTTATACTTTATTTTCTGAAGCATCTGATTAAATACTTCTCAAAAGAAATCCACATTAAGTAGGTCTGCATTCTGGGACATCTTGTCAAACAAAACCCAAAATGTAATGTTTCTGATCAGTCATTCAGCATATATATATATATATATATATATATATATATATATATATATATCATTTTAGCTCTGCTTCTCTGGGCTTATATTTCAGATGATAGGAGCACTTAATATGACAAGGTATGGCATGTAGCGTTTTGCTTTTTTAAGGGTTTTATGACCAATAGGAGAAATTAACATTCTTGTGAAGGTACAACTCTGAAATGCAAAGTCTCTGACATCTGTTTCCTTTATTTAGTTGGATCTTTTAAAATCAGCTTATCTCTCTTGGCTCCTTGAGCCTGAAATTGAAAACACTACCTTGATTTATGTATGTTGCCATGATTCATGCGCTGTTACAATGAATATCAGATGGTTTTATGTTTTTGCAAGGGCAATAACCCAAACAGGTAGATTTTATCTTATCATCAGAAAACCAAGATGCTGAGAAATGGCTATCAAATAATGTTGCTTAATTTCTTTAACTACCTCAAATATTTTAAAGACCTGGTCTTTGTGAAAATTAATTTAATTTGAGCTCTAAGACATACATCCAGCACACATTTACTCAGTACTTGAACATAGACATAGGAAACTTGGTAGGCCTTTTACCAAGGAAGTTAGACAAAAATACAGATAAACTCCATTTTAAAGGAAAGCAGATGACTGGAGGAAAAGGTACCACCAAAGAGAAGTATATATACTTAGAGAGTGCAAACTATGATTGACTTGTGTGACAGCAAGAATCCCTCAGGAGAGAAATAATAATCAAGTGAATACAAAACATTAGGTAAATGGCCTAGAGCAACTCTTGTAAGATACAGTCACAGGAAATTTCAATAATGAATCACATTGAAATCTACAGAGGTTGCTGATAAATCTTGATTTCCAAGCTTGTTCATATTTCTTATAGATGAATGACTTGATGACATGAAGTCAGAAAGCATCAGACACCACCATGTCCCTTAATTCAGTGTTCTAACAGCAAATGTGTTCTGCTTCATTTGACTAGTGAATAACAGATGAAGTAGATTCAGCCAACTAATGTTACTTTTATTTAATGGATGCCATATCTGAGGTCAGGGTGGCATGTGTGTGACCTATGATGATGCATCTGTACTGAACATGTATAGATTTTTGGGAGTAGCTAAATAAGTATATGTTTTGTTTTTTCATCCTTAGGTGGCAAATACCCAAAGTCTTATTAAATTATATTAAGATTTTTATATTTGCTTATGTTATGTGGCAGGTGAACCCAAATTAGTAAACATGAAACTCTGCAGGAGGAGCTTTCCAGATGAAACATGTGGCTCCACTAATTCGTCAACTCAAACACCTGCAACTCTTTGAACTAACGTTGCCATACTTTTTCTGAATGTTACTATTCACTAGATATGAGGCTCACTGACATGGAATACATCTTTCCCACCAAGATTGTGGGGCCTTGAGGCTGAGTTACAGCGTGACCTGATTGAATCTTTGAGGGACTTTAATAAATAACCCCTCTAATCCTCCTTCAAAGTTTGTCCAGAAGAATTATTATATGGTGTTAGGGGTGTGGGTGGGGGCAAAATGGGATGTGGGTATGATTGTGGGGTGAGCAAAGGAGTAATGGGATACAGAAGAAAGTAGAAGTAGCCACATTCTCAGTCTTATACATCTACTCAAAAACTTCTAGAAATGGAAGAAGTTCTGCAGTTTCAAAATTAGCATAATTATAAACTTGAGCTAGTAGATTGCCACCAAAGCTCTTAACATTGTGGTGCAAAATATCTAAATATGAACTGTAAAAATCTACTTAATTTAGAATGGTTCATCTAAATCAATCCAAATATTTGTATTGAAATAAATGAATTAAACTGTGGATATATTGATACCCAATATTTGCTTGTATATATGCTTTGTATATTTTCTATTACCTAGAGCTTTACTTGCATGGCCTATATTTATCTACACTTCATTCAGATTTCTTGACATAGTGTTCATACTGCTTTTATTTTTAAAGTATATTTTTGGTAGGATTACAATAAATAATTTTTAAAATGAGACATCGTAATACTTTCTTACAGAGATGATTCATACTATAAATTCTGCATGCTTTATTTCCCATCATCAATATCAGAAGTACTAATGGGAAAGGTTGAAAGTGTGTTTTCTGAATATTATTTCAAGTTATCTGAAATATATTCTACTCTCATTTTTTACATATAGTGATAAAACCAAAGTATCATAATTTTTGACTTCACCAAATGTTGCACATAACACTGAAATACAACAGATAATGGACAGGTCTTCATTTTAAAGAAATAATAAACTATTTTCTGAAATTTGATGTGGATTTGAGCAATATACACTGAGGAAGTTATTGATTTTTACTTATTTAAAGTATTGCAATGATTAAAAAGTGTGGGCGGAGGGCATATATTTGAGCAGATACATTACCTAATGATATCTATTTTACTGAAATCCACTTTCATTGGAACTAGGAAAAGTATAATAGAAAAGGAAGAATGATTGGAATGTCTGATCAAATCCTTTCTGAATTACCCCATTAAACATGCAGAAAATCTATTATTGTACAGATCTTAAAGTGAGCCTGACTTCAATTACTACTTTAATACCCAATCTCTTTGAATATCATTATTTTCCAAACTATCTAGAGGTAGATATAGATGAAAATTAATTTACTCTGAGCATCCAGACCGTTTAATCATCTAGACCACATGGAAACAAATAATGGTCTTGGGGCTGGGAGATCAAAGAAATTGTTCAACTTATTTTTCTACTCATGATTATTTAGAAAGAACTATTGGGTAGAAGATTAAGTACAAACCTACAATTCAATAAACATTTCTGAGATGAATGTAAACCTACAGTGTTCAAAACAGCCTAATATTAATTCAGCTCCTGTCTGTACCTAAACTGTGACCTAGATTGATGAATTTGAATCTCATTTCCTACAGAAAGACCACCTTTTAAAAAGAGAGGCCCCATTGGTGGTATCTGTCTGCACTAGCAAGGGACTCCTGTGTCTAATGTTATGAATATATTGGTAATAACATAGTAATAAATATAGTAATAAAATCTAACTAAAGTACAATAATATGATGATGCTAACAGCATATGTATTGT